TAGGAAAGTATATATGGATCTTCCTGTCTCGCCGAGATGAGTCGACCTAGCTATGTATGTCCGTCCGTCCGTCCGTCTGTCCATGTTAATTTGTAATCAAGCTACAGGTCGCAATTAAGAACCGATCCTCACGAAATTGAAAATGAAGGCATGGTTATGGTCAGAATAGAACCCTATTGTTTTTGGGGATGATATTTAGGGGTTGAAACAGAAAAATTTCCTGATTTTGCAGTTGCTCTATAGGCCACAATTATGAACCAATCGACGCGAAAATTTACACGGAGTTAGAGTTTAGGAGTGGGCAGAAACCTACCAAATCACAAATACATTAAAAGATCACTTCTGACCATTACAGTTATGCTAATAGCCAAGAAATCGGATATATAGCAATATATGTACAATATATATGTAAAAGAATTGATCTAATTTATTCTGCTTATAAATCAAGAACCGCTGGCCCGATTTTCACAATTCCCATCAATTCAGAATGGTCTCTTGCCAGAAAACGATAAAATCTTAGCAAATCGCTGAAAATATACCAATAAAAAAGTGAATATTTTTGTCGAATTATTTCAATTTTTGTCATATTTTTTATCGCATGCGATTTTTTCAATTTGACTTACAATTTTGAATTGTAAATTTTCTAAATTTTTACACCCCCAACCCTACGTTTTAAGGGTATTATATGCATATCGCAATTATCGTCCGATCCTCACGAAATTTTGCATGAGGGTAGGGTTAGGGTCAGAATTAAAGCCTGGACTAAAAAAGCTTAGTTTTTCCTAATTGTGTAGTCGCTCGACAAGGAATTTCGCATCAGAAGGACAGGAAAGAAGTCTAACATTTTGGATGACCATTGGATTATATTTAGCTGTAAAATGGACCACAATTTTCGTTTGAAAGTAAATATTGGCCAAATTCTCCGGGTCAAAAAACTAAGGGTAACCTCTGGGAGGGGCTCTTTGACATTATGTCAAAAACGAAATCTTCCAACATGGATTTGGATATAAGGGGACTTCGAACGTATTGTAGTGTTGTAGGGTATCTCATGGTCGGCCCCGCACGGCTATAGCCTTTGTTTACTTGTTTTTTTTTTTTTTGAAAATTCCAAATTCGTTCCAAATGGTGGAGGGTATTCAAAGTTCGGCCCAACGGAACTTAGCCGTTTTTATACCCTACAACACTATGTGTTGGGGGTATTATAAGTTTGATTGGGCCAGAATTTATGTAACACCTCGAAATATTGGTTTCCCATATATGAAAGTATATATGGATCTTCCTAGCTCGCCGAGCTGAGTCGATCTAGCTATGTATGTCCGCCCGTCCGTCTGTCCGTCTGTCCATGTTAATTTGTAATCACTCTACAGGTCGCAATTATGGCCCGATCTTCACGAAATTAAGAATGGAGGTGGGGATTAGGTCAGAATAGAACCCTATTTCTTTTGGAGATGATCGCATAATATTTAGGGGTTGAAATGGACCAAATACTGAAAAAATGTCGGATTTTGCAGTAGCTATACAGGTCGCAATTATAGACCAATCGACGCGGAATTTCGCATGTAGCTAGAGTTTAGGGCGGGGAAGAAGTCTACCAATTTGGGTGGTCATCGGATAATATTTAGAGGGTAAAATAGACCATATCTTTTTTGTTGAAAAAATTCAATATTTTTCATTAAACCGCGAATATTTTAAATACCGGCGAAATCACAAAGCCATGACAAGGTTACTTCTGATCTTTACATTGATGTTAAGATCCAACAAATCGGATATATAGCAAAATATGTGCGATATATATGTCTATCAAAGAAGATATGCTTGAAAGATCTCATATATGTCGAGAACGGCTGAACTGATTTCGACAGTTCTCATTAATTCAGAATGGCCTCTTGGCAGGAAAGAAAAAACGTCTAAAAAAATCGCATAAAAATATCTCTCTAAAGATGAAAATATTGATTTTATAAATTTCCTCATATCTTTTTCAATTTTGTCATATTTATACCCTACACCACATAGTGGTAAGGGTATTATGTCTTTGTGCATTTGTTTGTAACATGGAGAAGGAAACGAGATAGACCCATAGTTACTTTTGAGAACCTTCATAGAATCACTTTCTGAGTCGATTTATGCATGTCAGTCCGTCTGTCCGTCCGTCCGTCCGTCCGTCCGTCTGTCCATGTATTCTTGTGAACAAAATGCAGGTCGCATTTATTATCCGATTGAGATGAAATTTTCTAAACAATATTTTTTTGGCCCAGGGACGAACCCTATTGAAATTGGTGAGAATCGGATCAAATTTAGATATAGCTCCCATATATATCTTCATCCGATTTCGGGTTAAATGTGCACCAAATATCCACTATCAGTCCAAATTACCTGAATTTTGGCACACCCAACCGAGTTCGGCCTAGAAGCAAGTATATCAAATTTGGAGAAAATCGGTTCAGATATAGCTATAGCTCCTATATATATCTTTCATCCGATTTGATCTTTAAGTCCCTCACATTCCTACTATGCACTTCACAACCGTGATATTTGGTACCAGGTATTAGATGGAGCACAGAAATAGCTGTTTTAAATTTTATCGAAATCGGTTCAGATTTGGATATAGCTCCCATATATATCTTCATCCGATTTCGGGTTAATTGACCACCAAATGGCCAATGTCAGCCCAAATGGCCCGAATTTTGGCACATGTGACCGAGATTAGCCTTAAAGCAAATACAACAAATTTGGAGAAAATCGGTTTAGAAACAGCTATAGCTCCCATATATATATTCATCCGATTTCGGGTTAAATGTGCACCAAATGTCCACTATCAGTCCAAATTACCTGAATTTTGGCACACCCAACCGAGTTCGGCCTAGATGCAAGTATATCAAATTTGGAGAAAATCGGTTCAGATATAGCTATAGCTCCCATATATATCTTTCATCCGATTTGGTGTTTAAGCCTCTCACATTCGTAATATGCACTCCACAAGAATGATATTTGGTACCAGATATAAGATACAGCCCAGAAATGGCTGTTTGTAATTTTATCGAAATCGGTTCAGAATTGGATATAGCTCCCATATATATCTTCATCCGATTTCGGGTTAATTGTGCACCAAATGGCCGATATAAGTCCAAATGGACTGAATTTTAGTACATCGGACCAAATTCAGCCTAGAAGCAAGTATATCAAATTTAGTGAAAATCGGTTCAGATATAGATATAGCAACCATATACATGTTTCATCCGATTTAGAGTTTTAGTCCCACACATTCGTATATTTGGTACCAGGTATTAGATGGAGCACAGGAATAGCTGTTTTAAATTTTATCGAAATCGGTTCAGATTTGGATATAGCTCTCATATATATCTTCATCCGATTTCAGGTTAAATGTGCACTAAATGGTCAATATCAGCCCAAATCACCAGTCTAGAAGCTAATACGTAAAATTTGGAGAAACCCGGTTCAGAGATAGCTATAGTTCGTAAAATGCACGATAGAATTAGATAGATTTTGATTTTGTACCAAATATCTCATAGAGCTCTGAAATGCCCTGTATAAACCTTTTTATGAGAGCTCTACTAAATATGCATAGTGGTGTAGGGTATCATATAGTCGGCCCCGCCCGACTTTTAAGCTTTCCTTACTGGTTTTGGCATATTTTCGTTTTGAATTAAACATTTGGTAATATTTCTACAGCTAACAAAACTAAGTAGTTAGGATATCAGGATATCATATACAGATCGCATTTATGGGCCGATCCTTACGAAATTTTGCATGGGGATAAGATGAGGGTCAGAATAGAAGCCTACTCTTTTTGGAGATGATCGTTATATATTTAGGGGTTGAAATGGACCAAAAAACTGCAAAATTGTCAGCAGGTCGTAATTACCGCCCGATCCTCTCGCACAGTTGAATGGAGGTTACCGGACATTGCAAAAGCCAAGCAGTTTTGGATGGCCATCCAAAAATATTCAATGTGTGAAATAGTTTGCCAACTTTTGTAGACAAAATACGAAAATGTCCATTCCAGTGACTTTTTGGAAAATTCACAAACACAGGAAAGACGCACTTCTGACTATTTCGTTAACGCTGATTTCGTTGAAGAATATAGTCAAATGTCTGTATCTCATATAGATGCGTTTCAGTCAAAATCCAATAATAAATGTTAATCTTTTGCCACTTCTGAGAGATTATAGGTCTTTGGGAAATATTGGTTCCAGATCTAGGAAGACCATTTACGTGCAACATCTACTAATAAATTGGAAATGAGCAAATTCGTTGAAGTTGCTATTATTCGAAAATTAGAGAAAGAACCCGGATGGCTTTCTTTTATTATTTGTCACAATATCTTGTGGAATTCTTTCGAGTATCTCGCCTATATAAACTGTATCGTTTATTAAAGTGTTGTAGGGTATTCAACGGTCGGCCCCGCTCGACTGTAGCCTCTGCTTACTTGTTATTTATTTTATTTATTTATTTATTTATTTATTTATTTTTTATTTTTTTTTTTTTTTTTTTTTTGAAAATTCCAAATTCGTTCCAAATTTCAATGAAAATATCACAAAATGAATTTTTTCTCATCCTCAAAATCTGATTGAAATTGAATTGTAGCATATTGCACTTTTCGCTAATATTGCCATTTTTTAGCTTCATCAAGAGGTGTAGCCAAAGCAATGTTTTCATTTTTCCTAATTTATGGCCAGTTCTAAGAACAACAAAACACATATAGTTCTTTTGCAACAAACAACAATAACTTTTGTCGTCATTTCCACTTGAAACAAGGACCACCTAGAACAGCGAAAAAACATTAACAATTCATATGACATTAAAAAAAACGTAGCAATAAATCTTGAAAGTATTACAACGAAACCAGAAACAAATATGAAATAAACCCCATGTTTTTGGTTTTGGAAAACGACTAGGAGTTACTTATTTAAATATTATTGTGTGCATCCCAACCACAACCAGCTAGCCAACCAGCCAAACAAACAAAATTACTTCATTACCCGAAACTCTCTTTCAAAATTTGTTTTCAGCAAAAACAAAACACGACCACGCTCACAACCACAAAAGTCAATGCAGAGCAAATCAAGTCACAACCAAAGGCGCAAAGGAAGTAAAATACACGTAGACGGTGATGATGTCCTTACAGCGGTACTTAAGGTATAATTAAATTACATCATTAAGGTTTGTTTAGTTTTCCTTGTTGTTTCTATTTTGTAAAGTTGTTATTGTTGTTGTGGTTCATCTTATTCTTCTTATACGCATCCAGCACAAAGTCAATTTCAATGAAAAACTTTTATTTCACCGCAACAACATGACATTCAGTCGTGGCTTCATTCTCGCCGGCACACTCACTTCTTTTCAATTCACTTTGACAAAATAAAATTCCACTTTAAGTTGGTGTTACATTCGAGCAACAAAGGTTCAATACGAAAAAACACACACACAGAGAAAAACACGGCGAACGAAGATCCTTACGCGTAACTTTTGGGGCGAAACACAAAACGCAATCGAAAAGCACGACAACGACGCCTGGTGAACACGTCCGCATTGGTCTAAAGGCAAAAGTCAAATGTTGCTTGATTTTTGCCACAGCCACAATTCATGGCTGTGTGCTATACGACCAGCTAGCTCACCGACCAAACGACTAACCAACCAGCAGGCCTGCCAACGAACCAGCCAGCCAGCAAGCCAACCAACCAACCTAACATCACTGATATCGGCATGTAAGAACAAATGTAAGCAATTTGCAGAGACGGACGGACGGACGGACGAAAAGACAGACAGAAAGTCCTGGCAGGAGTAGTGACAGTAATATTCTCACCGCCATAACATCATCGTGTTGTGGCAGATACTATAACGACAACGAAGTACTACTTGGAAAGATGAAAACATTGCTCCGTCTCTGGGTGTTTTGTCGATTTGGATGTTGGTTGGATGTTTATTTTCTTTTTCTCATTGCTTAGATGCACTGTGGGATCAAAGGATGTGATGAGAGAGATTTTTGTGAAGAAAATGGAGGACGCACTTATTATCCGCTTGAGATGAAATTCTCCAAACAGTATTTGTTTGGCCCAAGGACGAACCCTATTGAAATTGGTGAGAATCGGATCAAATATAGATATAGCTACCATATATATCTTCAACTGATTTCGGATTAATTGTGCCCCAAATTCCCAATATCAGTTCAAATGACCTGAATTTTAGCACATCTGACCGAATTCAGTCTAGAAGTAAGTACACTAAATTTGGTGAAAATTGGTTCAGATATACTTGTAGCTCCCATATACAGGGTGAGATGAAAAAACTGTAACCAGTTTCAGACTGCTGTCATTTCTAAGCCACTCGTCCGACAGCTGTTAAAATTATTCCAGTGACAGCACATTATATTGTTCACAAGCACATAAAAGTATTTTGGTTAGAATTTTCCAGAAAAAAAGTTATTCGTGATGGAATTCAAGCGTGATAGTGTGATTTCTTTATATTTGGCTGTAAACCCACAAGTGGCTATCGTTAGAGCACTCCAGCATTGAAATGTGAATAAATCTTTTGTGTCTCGTACCATCGCTCGTTACCTTGATACTGGTAGCGTAGCCCCACGTCAAGTAAGTGGACGGAAGAAAACAGCAACATCAGCAGAAATGGTTCGAAAAGTAAAGAAGCGACTTGATCGAAACCCTCGTCGCAGTGGCCGAAAAATGGCTCGTGAGCTGAACATATCGCAATATTCCATTCGGCAAATATTGAAAAATGAGCTCGGGTTAAAGCCATTGAAATTCCTAAAAGTGCAAAAACTTCCACCGCAACACAAAAAAAATAGACTCAAAAGAGAAAGTGGTAAACTCCCGAATTTGGTTTTCTCCGATGAGAAAACATTCGTTGTCCAGCAGTTTGTAAACAAACAAAATAATCGTGTTTACTTGCCAAAGAGATCAGCTGAAAATGTCCAGCTTCGGTTGGCTACCAGAACTCAAGCGCCGGCCATGGTGATGGTGTGGTCGCTCTCCGTTCGTATTTATTGACAGTGGCATCAAAATAAATGCCGAATATTATCGCGAAATTTTTCTGGAGGGTGTATTAAAGCCTTTGGCACGCAAACATTTTGGCCGCAGGCCTTGGACATTCCAACAGGACTCAGCACCATCGCACTCAGCACGCGCCACCCAAGAATGGTTACAAAATGAGGTTCCACGCTTCATTTCCAGGGCATCAAAATACTGAATATAGAGAGGTACCAATATATGGGAGCTATACGAAGACCTGGACCTGAATAGACAATTTTCTGTCACAGGATGTAGTACTCCTTAGGAGATTCAATGGCCACCAAAATCTCCGGATACCAATCCGTTGAACTATTGTGTCTGAAGTATTTTGGAAAGCAAGTTTGGCACTAAAAAATATCAAAGTGTCGATCACGTCAAGCAAGCGCTTCGCCGGGAATGGGCCAAAATACCGCAAAGCAACATTCGGACAGCGTGTGACGGTTTGATTGGCCGTTTTGGCCAATTCGTGCCAAAGGTGACCAATTCGAATAAATCTAAAGTTATTCTAAAATTTGATGCTATTTCCGACATTTTTTTGCTTTTAATCAATAAAATTAAAAAAGTAATTTTTTTTATCTCACCCTCTATATACCCTATACAGCCGGCAGATACAACGTGCATTAAACGCATTTCTTAATGCGCATTTCATTTTTGCTCTGGCATGCAGCATGTCACCGGCATGCATTTTCCACCCACAGATCAAATAAAATCTTAGTGTATTTGTAGCGTCAGATGCTTCGCTTCTTTTCACTTAGCAGCTGGAAATATATTCTATTTCATTTTTTCAGTTCATTTCAGTTCAAAACAATGAAAATACTAAATACCTTTCATGTTTTGTTGTCTGTGGTGTTATCTATTTTGATTTTCACAAACGTAAACAATTTGTCAACAACTGATTGATATTCGGCAGCGTTGCCGAAATCCGTTTTTCAAAAATTTGCACAAATTTTACTGGAAGCAACATTTATCGAAATTATTTCAAATTTCGCACTACAGCCCAAATGGCAAAGAACTACTTAAGCAGGACCACGTCTTCGTTAAACCCCTATATAACCGGTTTCATTTGAGAGGTATTTTCGGCCGAACGTAGCTGTTTCCACTATGCTTCAAAAATTTTAATTTAATTTCATCTAAATCTCATTGTAAAAAAAACTGAATTCTCTCCGATTGTCTAATTAGGTTCTTGTGGGAATTATAACAAATCTGAATTATTCCACCACTGTTATGTCACCTCTAATGCTGCCAATGTTGTTTTCTTCAACATCTACACGAGTTGTTGTGCGTTCCTTCATACACATGCACTCTAGGGATATATATAGGAGGAATATATTCCTCCTAGCGCACATGATGTCTCTCACTACAGTTACACACACACACATAACTCTAGACATGAAATGAATTTCTTTCCAAGTACATCTCGTATGAATAAATGTAAGAGTTGTTGGCTTTTGATCGCAAATTTATAACAAGACCAACTTAACAATTTTCGAACAAAATACAATCACTTGTGTGACAAAAGTAGATTCATTTCGCGTTTTGAATGATACTTACGGTGGTTACGGTGCTCGGGAAAATACAATGTGTGTGTGTGAGGAACGATGAACAAACGATAAGGTTGCGTATGGGTTAACACATGCAGGTGTGGAAAAAAAAAGCGTAAAACCATAGCCCAAGTATAAGGTCCCCCCTCCAAGCCCGCTGACTGTCAAATTAAATGTCAAAATCCATTATTGTAATTGAAATCACAGACAAAAAGATAAACAAATATCCAAAAAAGTGTAAGCAAATTTTGAAATTTCATCTGGGTTTTAAATTTGGAAGGAACACCTTGTTATTGAGCCATAAGTGAAACAGAACAAGTAAAAAAAAAACATTAAGTTTGGTCGGGCCAAACTTTTAATACCCTCCACCTTAGGGTAAAGGAAACATTAGAAGAAATGTGGCAAAAACCATTAAAATGCCGAATATCGGGAGGTATCGTTATATGGGGGCTATACCAAATCGTGGACCTACACATGCAATGTTTCGCCAACGGAGCTAGAACTCATTATGACCTACAAATACCAATTTTCAGACAAATACGTGAAAAAATGTGGCAAAAATCATCAAATTACCGAATATCGCGAGGTAGCGTTATATGGGGGCTATACCAAAACGTGGACCTATAATTACAATGACTCGCCAAACGAACTGGGACCCATTATGACCCACAAATACAAATTTTTAGACAAATCAGTGAAAAATTATGGCAAAAACCATCAAAATACCGAATATCGGTAGGTACCGTTATATGGGGGCTATACCAAATCGTACACCCATACATGCAACGATTCGCTACCGGAGCGGGAACACATTATGACCAACAAATACCAATTTTTAGACAAATCCGTGAAAAAATGTGGCAAAAACCATCAAAATACCGAATATCGGGAGGTACCTTTATATGGGGCTATACTAAAACGTGGACATATACATGCAATGTTTTGCCACACGTACAAGGACCCGTTATGACCTACAAATACCAATTTTCAGACAAATCCGTGAAAAAATGTGGCATAAATCATCAAAATACCGAATATCGGGAGGTACCGTTATATGGGAACTATACCAGAACGTGGACCGATATATCTCATTTTCAATACCAACCATCCTAGACACAATACAAATTGTTTTGCTAAATTTTGGCGCTCTACGTCAAATAATGTGGGCTGTATCGTGATTTCAACAGACAGACAGACAGACGGACATCGTTAAATCGACTTAGAATTTCATGCTGATTATGAATTATGAAATACTTTATGGGGTCTACGACGAATATTTAAGGATGTTACAAACGGAATGACAAAGTTAATATACCCTCCTTTCCAAGGTGGAGGGTATAATAAAGTTTCTTTCTTTGTTGAAGCCATGGTAGAAGAATACACGTAGGTGCATCATGCTCGCGAAGATTGATATGTCAAAAATAGTTAAAAATATCTGCAAAAATAAATGGATTTTAAAATATTTTCTTATGAGATGCCGATCAGAGGTTGGTATGATCTGTGACTTTCAACATATTTCACAAATTTATGCAAATTTTCATTCAAATTTTTTAATTCCAAAAATCTTTTGATAGTTCATTGTACCAGCAGCTGTGTTGATGCGCCTACCTGTATTTTCAAAAAAATTAAATCCGTTAAAATTTCTGTTAAAGTCATCAAAATACTGAATATAGAGAGGTGCCAATATATGGGAGCTATAGACCTGGACCTGCATAGACAATTTTCTGTCACAGGCTGTAGCACTCCTTAGGAGCTTCAAATACGAAATTTGAAACAATTTTCGTGAAAACAGTACCTAAAATCGTCAAAATACCGAATATAGGGAGGCATTGATGAATAGACACCATACGAAAACCTGGACCCGTATAGACAATTTTCTGTCATAGACTGTATTACCCAACAGCAATTTTAAATACGAAATCTGGAACAATTTCAAAATACCGAGAATAGAGCGGAACCGATATATGAGGGCTTTACGAAGACCTGGACCTGCATAGACAAGAACTTAAAGTACGAAATATGAAACAATTTTGGTTAATATTATACCTAAAATCGTCAAAATACCGAATAT